ATAGTTCTGGCACGTTAAGTAAAAAAAAACAAACGTTAAATTTTCGAGGTGCCAATTTCACAAAACGTAAAAAAATTACGACATCTCCTTAAATATTAGTTTAAGCGCTTCGAATGTTAATAACTTTCGTTAGAACTCTTGAGGTGCTATCCAAAATTCTCAATAGGAGACTTACGAAAGTCCCATGGGAGCGAAAATTTGTCCAATAGTTGTCGAGAGTTCTAGGTAGCATCACAAGATTTCTAACAATACTTACTAAGACTTCAAGCTCTAAAATCAACAACTGGAAAAGTTATTGAGTTTTTTTTCATGGATCGAAAAGTTTCCAAGTCCCATAAGGGCAAAAATTTTTTTCGGTAACCGATAGTTCTGTTGTCACCCTGAAAATTTAACGTTTTTTCTCTACTTAATATGCCAGAATTATTTATAATTTTATTAAAGAACTCTGGAACTCTTAGGAATGCATTTCAGAATAGTAATAAAAATTTCGTGTTTTTAAAAACGAGATAACCTCACAGAGAGACATAAAAAAGTCGGGCAGGTACGCCGATGCTTTCGGAAGAAAAAGAAAAGAGAAAAGAGTGGGGGGGGGGAGAGAGAGAGAAAGAGATCAAAGAGAGAAGCAATGTCATATGATTCTTTCATGTTCCTAGAGTTTCAACTTTAGGGATTGAAATAAGCAGTTCTGGTTTATGCTTACGGTTATAAATGATTATATTGGGTTTTTGTTGTCAAAAACAACTGCCAGCGAAAAATCAGAAAAATAAAAATTAAATATAGTTTGCACATATGTGTAATTCTCGAGGAATAAATAGTAATTAATACGAAACCTCTATCGATGACACACATCTGTTCATCGTTACAGATCAGTCTACAATTAGGAATCTGTAGACTGATTGTTTTACAACGAAAAATAGCACATAAATTATAATTGTCGCATAAGAGAGCAAATTCGATTATTCTTATAAATCCTAGAATATACGTAATTTTTAATAGTTCTTCATAAAGAGACATTCGCAGGGAATTGACGATTCCAAATGACGAGTAGTTATCTCGACTCGCGGTATCCTCGCGACAATACGGCCCTGAAAGGGCCTGGCGGGGAGGAATCGAGAGGTGGAGGACGGGGGGACGGAGTCGATGGAGGAGCGCGAGAGCGAGGCAGGAGAAAGGCGGGGAAAAGAAACGGATATAAAAAGAGAGACGGAAGACGTAGGCCTCGGCCGGCGGCTGGCGGCGGCGGCGGCACCGCTTGATGTACGCCGGGTCCGTAATTACAGGTTTTCGGAACGCCTCGCTCGCTCGGCGAGCGGCGAGCCGCGCGCGGTTCGAGAGTCTCCGGGGCCCTTCCCTCGTCGCGCCGAGCCGCGCGCTCTACCGGGTGTCCCGAGCGCGTAACCGGGGGGGTCCGGCCACGGTTCGTCGCCGACGACGAGCGGTCGACGAAAGCGCGTCTTCTTCTTTCCCTCCTTCGGAGTATTCGAAATTCTAATTATAGAGCGGCGCTTTACGGCGCGAGATGAAAAGCGGAGACGTAAAATTGGGAATTTCTTCCTTTTGCTTTTTATTTACTGGAGGGGTTAGGTTAACGCTTGATAATCGTAACCTGGTAATGTGGAAAGCAGAAATAATGGGAAAGCAGAATTAATGGGAGCGATAAAAAGTCTTGAGAAATTCGATTTTCTACAACGTGTGGCTTATCGTACAAGGTTGTCGAGATTATAGATAAATTTTCCGTAAAGAGAGAAATGCCCGCGAAAGATAACAGCATTCTGAAACGTTTTCTAGGAAGGACAGACTCGGGCAGGTAAAACTCATCCTTCCTTTACGAACCGAGATACCAATGCACGCATCGCACCGAAAATTCGATTTGTCGTGATAAGCGTTTCGGTGACAAAACCGTGCTTATCTCTTTTTTACATTCATTATTAGTTTAATAAAACCGAAAGTGAGATAATCGCCAGCCTCGCAGAGTGACTCGTTTACTCGAGATATCACGCACACGTTTCGACGCTTCTCGAGTCACCCTGTATGTCCGAATCTTCCGCAATCGAATCGAATCCGTACGAATATCGGTGAGAGAGGCCAATCGACCCCGCTCACTATTACCCCATATATGGCGTGCAAAGACGACGCGGTGGACACCGATCGGCCCGTTTAACGGGTGTTAAATAAATTACGAACGGGGCTTATCGCGTGCGTTAGGGGACGACGCGGTGATCTCTCCCCTTTACGGCCCTGGGCGATCCCGAGGCTTCTCAAACGAGGAAAGCATACACACGGCTTCCATTCAGCTAACCCTTTCAGCTAACCCTCTCTCTGCGCCCACCCTCCCCGCGAGCCTCCTTCCTTTCTTTCTTTCTTCCCGCCTCGCTCTCTTATTCGCGCCGCTCCTCTGGTCCGCAAAGTAGTCCCTTCGACCTCTCGTCTGCGGAGAGCAACGTCGGCAAAATCTCTTTTACGCGCCCGAGAGCGCGGACATGTCCGACATCTCCTCCCCTGATCCCTTTTCCTCCTCCTCGCGACCTCCACTTAACCCTTTTGCAGAGACTCTCTCTCTCTCTTTCCCTTTTTCGAAATCTTCATTTGTTGAAAGCAATGATCTGAATCTTTAAAAAGTCGCCTGTACATTCGTCGCGATGCGACGATGACCTTGAAAGTTTTCGCGGTTTTAAAGCTTCTACATTTTAATCACACGTCGCTTAATTGATTGAATGCATTATAATTTATCATTCTGATGCCCAACATTTTAAAAATAATTAACAATAATTAATAATAGATTACCAGTCGCATTAATATCTAATTAATTGTGGCCGTGTAAATTGTGCACGCGATATTTACATACATATTGTCGTATCGTTAATATTAATTATATATTGGACATTGGACGGCAGAAAGATTAATTCAGAACAACCGAAGTGGATGAGCGCGATGACATTTCAAGGAACGCGAGCGTTCAAACTCGCTCTTCTCTCTCTCTCTCTGTCTGTCTGTCTGTCTTCCGCCGAATAAAATCCTCTTCTTCCTTTTCTCTCATCAGATACAGATCTGAGAACATGTTTTTCAGGATAATTCACGATACGACCGACCCGAGAGGAGGGGAGAGGGGGAGGGTACACGACGGCGCGGCGGAAGACATAGGCGGAAGCGGTCAAAGGCGTGTCACCGTTATCGCCAGATGACTTTACGCATGTCACCTTACTATACTCGAGCTGCAAATCTTTCAAAGGAACATCTGAGGGACCGCTCACCCCAGGTGGCGGCCGGTCGGGAGGGACAGACGGCGGTGCTGGTATTAACCAAAGCTCCTTTTCTCTTAATAAACAACTACCTGACCTATCGTCGAGTTTTCCGAGTACCATTAGCTATCGATGGACAATGCGTATAACAAAGTAAATAACATTCGTGGAACGTCAAAGGGCGATTACGCGAGAGAAGAGGTAGCGATTAAAGAAATCCGGAAAAGAACTTTTTTCGGGTTAATTGTACGTAGAAAGAGAGGAAAGAGACACTGTTTTACAAAGCTCTCGAATACATTGTACTTGAAAATTTAATGGCGATCTTGTAACAGTTGTGACATGATTGTATGTTGCTACTCCTTTTATGAAATTTTCGGCATTTTTTAAGGAAAAAAAGAGGATAGTCTTTCAATAAAGCGTGTTAAATCTTTGCGGGCAGTAAACGCTGTAAAAAATCTACCTTTAATAAAAAGACCGACTTTAAAGTTTAAAGTTATACACCGCACGCGAGACCACCCGCATAAACATACACATACACACTAGTATAAATAAAATATAATTAAATTAAAAAAATCGACTTTAAAATATATATGACTATATACAACAATATTTGCGTAAAAAATAAATCAAATAAGTGCAAATACTTTTTTCTCTCTCTTACTACATGCGATTAATTATTCAAAATCTTTTTTTCTCCAATCATAGATTTATAAAACGCGACTCATCAATTTGTGATAAATTATATAGGATAAATCTTAGGAAATAAATCAAATAAGTGCAAATACTTCTTTCTCTCTCTTACTTCATGCGATTAATTATTTAAAATCTTTTTTACTCCAATCATAGATTTATAAAATGCGACTCATCAATTTGTGGTAAATTATATAGGAATATATTAAATAATAATTTATAATAGATGTTTTATATATAAGTTCAATAATAATGAGGCATTAAGAGCTCAGTCTATTTGAATTAACTGTGTATTATAAAATTTTTACAATAAACAGAAAAATAAAAAAGTACAAGTCAAAGTTAAATGTGAAATGTAAAGTGTTCATGAGGAAAATCAAAATGAAATGTCAGTATAAAGATTATAAATAATTTAAATATGATTGATAAAGAGAGAAACAGACATGGCGTAATAAAATGTTAGTAAAAAGATCGCAATAAAATGTTAGTAAAAAGATTACAAATAATTTAAACCTAACTAACAAATAGAGAACAAATAAAAAGCGTGTTTTATATATAATTTAAAATAGACAGTTTATAAGGAGGGATTGTCTTCTAAATATCTTAATTAAACTATCTTAATTTAAAAAATGATTCTAATAAAAAAAATCAGTCAAAATTTCAAATATATAAAAATCCATAAAAATTATACTTTTTAATATGAAATGTGATTCTTATGTTAAATGCAGTTAGAGCATAAAAATTCGCAAATAAAAATTCTGAAACTTTTAGTATATATATATATATATATATATATATATATATATATATGTATGTATATATATCATAAATCGATATTATTTTTCTTTTTAATAAAAAGAAAAATGGTACATTTTTGTAGAATCGATTTTTTCGATTTTTATGTATATACATTATTTAAATATCTCATTCTATATTACGCGATAATAATAAAGAATTCGTGAGAAATCATGAAGCGGAAGTGATTCTTCCCTCCCTTTATTAAATCGCCGATTAATGATTCGTTTGGTGCGCCGTAATTAATAGCCTCCAGTAATTTACCGCAATTAATACCTTGACTCCAAGTCGGTTCATGGGACTTTGGTGAAACGATTCGTTCATACATCATCATCGTAGCCGTAATCGTCGTCGTCGAGTTGTATCCGATTATCAGCTAATTTACTCTTGTCTATTTTCTCTTTCAAATTCACTGCGTTACATTAAGAATAATATATATGTTTATACCGTTATCACAGTTATTCCTTACAGTCTGCTCCTTACAGAATTATCACAGTTCACAGAAGGAAACTTTACAAACTCAAATCCGCATTGCAAACTCGAATCTCATTTTAATCTCCACTAGTTTACGAGTTCGAATGTTTCAGAAACTCCAATCTTTCTTTCAAGCAGGATCGCCGCGAATTATCCTCGTCACAATTTCTAACGAAAGAGTTGTCTGCGCGCGACACAAGAGATATCTCCACCCCCCGATGACTCGGAGGAAACGTCTGTTGATCGGTCAACCGGCGACAGACAGAGGATCGCAACCGGGTGACTGCATCAGTCGCGCCGAGATTTTCCGGACGGAGGCATCGAAGTCTCCCGTGGCGGGATGCACGTTCTTTCTCCTTTGCTCATCGTCAATCGATCACCGGTCAACAAACTGATTTTACTCAAGTCCCGACACCTTTCGTCGTTGGAAATCATCTTGCGATACAACCATGTACTATCATGATTATATTAATCTTATCGGACAAATCGGAGATTAATTCCTTTCAATACCTCTTCTCAATATTTTCAGGAATATAAGGACGATATTATACGATCGACACTTTTCGGTTGATAATTTTCTCAGCTTTAACTTCACGACTCTTCTAAACAGCTGTACACACAAGAGTTTACACGCGTATAATTGTTCACTATTCGTGTGTGTTTTTTAGAATATTAATAAATATTTTCGTGAGAAAAAATGTACTTGTATACAAAACATTTATCATGCTTTTCCAGGCATATTTCAACGATGACCTATTCACAAATGAAACGATCACGGTTGAGAAGAGACGAGGATTCTGTGCCGGCAAACACAAGAGCGAAGGGTCCGAGACCGGTGCGTCCTATACAACGTACACGGTGAGACTGAAACTACAGTGACCGTAGGAGCCAGGGAGAGAGAGCGAGCATCATCTTTGTCTTTCCCTTACGTTCTATCCCCTCCTCCCTTGCTTCACAACGCGCTTCTTCTCTCTTTCTTCCCTTCCGACGTACTGCACCCCCCACCTCCGATCTCTTCTTCACCGCCACCATCCCTCGGTCGGACTGATCTTCTCTCCCGCCTCGTTTCCTCTCTTTTTAGCGACAGAGAGCGAGAGAGAGAAAGGGAAGAGATCTCGGCGTATACGAGGACGCGGAACAAAAAAGTGATAGGGTCCAGGTACAAGGGCAAATTCTTAAGAGGATCTTTAAACGGAAACTCGGATTTTTCGATGTACTGATCAGTTTTTCTTCTCAATCAAAAGGAATAATCTCTTTTATTCTATTATTGGATCAATCGATTGTCACTATTATCGCGATTGTCGCTAAATATATTTTTTTAACTATCAGATAATACACAGAGAAAAATATCATTCTGCTGCCAAGAAAAGCAAAAACTTACTCAGTTTATTTTTCTTTTTTTAAGAAATAGTTTTTTTCAAAGAATATATTCTTGATAATCTTAAAATATACTCATTACAAGCGTTAGAAAATCTCCTTATCATGTATTCAAAAGAAGAATTTTTTTCTCTTCAAGAATATTGTAAAGTTGTATCAAATAAAAGCCAAACTTACTTTACGTCAACTCTGGTAGTAAGAAAACCAAATTTTTGTTTTAATTTAATATTCTTGACTAAAATACTGCACTTACTAAAATTCAGAATATATTCAATTAAATTTAATGTTTGTAATAAATCTATGATATATTTGCGGATATACAAACTTATGATATACTTAAAATAAATAATATTTATTTGAATACAGTATACATTTTTCTCTGTGTAAATCCAAGAAAATAAATTTTGTCTGAAAAAATTAACTTTTAAAAAAATATATGGTTATATAATATAGTTATATATAATTTTGATACTATCAATATTTTAATAATAGAATATATAAATAATTAATAAAAAATGTTTAAAATTTATTTTTTAATTTTTATTATATTTATATAATTATTTTTTATAGTCAAGGAACACATGTGTGTATAAATTTTTATATATTTTTTCAAGCACTCTGAGACAGATAAAACTGCGATAAAATATCTTGGCCACATGTGATCAGAAAAAAAATGTATAATCTATAAGGATCAGTAAAAAAAAATTGAACATGACAAATGAAAAAAATAAGATTGCATTTGAAAAAATGAAACTCATTTAAATAAGTAATATTCTTTTCTACTCTCTTAAATTATTCATCATCGTAAAGTCGACAAATGTATTGAACAAGATAAAATTTTTTGTCTGGAAAGAAAAATTGGATATTTATTTTAGATATGCAAAGAAAAAAAGGAGTCACATAAAAAATTCGAGCGTGATTATCGCATTGATATATAATTCCGAGCTTATTTTTCTTTATCGAGAAACGCTAAATTTTTGTTTGAAAAAAAGAAAAAAATATATAACTCGGAAATATAGCGACGTGACCAGTGATAATGAAGCGAGAAATTTGCGTGACAGTCGGGAAGACGACAAAGAAAATACACCGAAAGACCGAAGGATGCTGGTGAGGGAGCAAGAGAGAGCGAGGAAGGTGAGGAAACGTAAGGGGAAGATAGTCGGCGACTTAAAAGGTGTCAGTGGTTTGACCGGGCCGACGTAGGATCGTCAACGAAAGAAGCCGTACGAGGTACTCGATCTCGAAAGATAGTGATATATATACCAGGTGTCTCGAGAAAAAAAGAGAAATTTACATCGATATGTTCCGAATTTCTCTTCGTGTTGAAACGTTAAGCCCTGGTTTATTCAATGCGTGTCAATCTCTTTGATTCCGCTTCTTATCGCTCGGTTTCGATATCGCAAGAAGTATGTAAATATTTTTAGACTTTAAGGCAATAAAATATTTTTATTCGCTCATATTTGTTGAGAAAGGACGGTATTTCCTGAAACGATTTTTTTGATTTTGGGACTCTTGGAAATAGTCTTTCGCGATTTTGTTTTCAAGAGGATAACCGGTTTCTCATCCAAGAGAGGAAGACCGATATCGCATCTAGTCGCCGAGACGCCTTCGGCCAAGAAGCTTAAATCGATGCATCAAGTGCACCTGAAATGCGACTAAGCGTTTCCCGGCGCGACTTGGCAGCTGGCAGCCTTCCGACAATCTTATCAATCTCGGTGCAGATAAATGCCGATTTAAAGAGATTGTCAGGTACAGGACGACCGGCCCCGTTACATGAAATTCTCTTAAAATCGAGCTCGCGGTGCAGTTGATTTCATTTCTGTTCCAGATTAAATCTCGATCGATCTTCCCGATTTCCATATGCATATAACTGATTTCTGCTTGTGTTAAGAAAGAATTTTATAAAGTAAATTCTCGGAGGAAATCGAGAGAAAATTTCTTTGTAAGAAATTAAAAATCTTTTTCTATAAATTTAATACAATTTATTTACAATATACCAATGAAAATATTTATAAAAAATAAATTTAAATTTTACTCTTTCTTGTTCTCTCCGTTTAAGAAAGAGAAGAAACGGTATTTTAATACAAAGAGCTCTAAAACACGTGTTTGTCGACTCATGTGTCATTTTCAAAATTCAGCGACTTGCTTGCGCTATCTTTCTCCCCCTCGGGCACCTCAGAAGTTTTACGATACCAAAACCAAAAAGGATTACATCGCTTTAACCTTGCGGGAAGCCCGCGTGCCCAGTAATTAATGAAAATTAAACTATCGGCGATAATAATGGAATCGCGCCTGCTCGTCGCGCAAAAAAGAGAGAGCGGAGGGCAAGGGGATAAGAGGGAAGAAAGAGAACCGGTGTCGGGTCGTCGTCATCGTCGTAGTCGTCGAGGAGGAGAGAAAGAAGAAGAGAGACTCGAGAACGCACGCGCTCGCGAGCAAAAGTGAGAAACTGGTAGCGTGTTTGCCAGAGGAGCTCGGGCGCGACCGAGAAGGGAAAGGAGAAGTCTCACGAGACGAGGAGGACGATGATGACGAGAGAGAAAGAGAGAGAGAGAGAGAGAGAGAGAGAGAGAGAGAGAGAGAGAGAGAGAGAGAGAGAGAGAGAGAGAGAGAGAGAGAGAGAGAGAGGGAGAGAGAGAGAGAGAGAGAGAGAGAGAGATAGTCGAACAGATGGAAACAGAAAGAGGGACAGAGGGAGAGGGCTGAAGTGCACGAGACAGAGACGAAGCGCGTTCGTTTGATCTCGCCGCCGCACGCGATCCCACACACGCGCGTTCCTCTTGTCCCCCTCCCCCCGCCCCGTCCACCGATCCCTCCGCGCGATGCGGATTCGCATGAATGCACTAACACATCACGCGATTTAAAACCTCTGCGTCTCCTCTCCCCCCCATCCCCTCCTTTTCGTGATCCGATGCGATCCCTCTTGCCCCTTTCCACCGCGCCGCCGCCGCCGCCGTTGCCGCCAATCGACTCCGGACGTCGGTGTGGCGCTCCTGACTTCTCTCTCTCGCTCTCCCTCTCTCTCTCTCTCTCTCTCTAGCTCTCTCACCCGTAGGCCCGTTCTCTCTCGCGCCGTTCGCGATGCGCGGCGGACACGCGTAATAAACACCGTGCAAAGCAACCCGGCGCTGAGTCGCCTATAATTTCTCACGGAAAATTATATGTTAATGCGCCCTTAATGGCGTCGTTCGTTAACGGGATCGCCGTCGTGGCCGAGGAAGCCCGGGGGATGGCGGAGAATACCGCGAGACTTGTCCGAGCAAGTAGGATCCGCTCTCGAGAGACGAGAAATCCGTCGAGGATATAATCCGCGCTCTAAACGCGAATCGAGTGTCGATCAAGTTGTCGAGTTTTTCTTTTTTTTTTTTAGCAAAAGCCGTGAGAAAGATTCTCTCTTTATTACATTTTTCGAACGAGATCTTTTTGCTCCGAGAGTTTGTTCTAAAAAAGTAGATGCATCTTTCGGGGATATAGTAAAATTCAAAAGCTTGACAAAATCTTGCCGGCGATTCTTTTCGTTTGAACGTTAAAAATCGTGACGTTTAAATCGCACAGCGAGATTAAAAGGAGAATACTAGGGGATCGTTGCAAAACTGAAGTTAAAAATCTCGCTGCTGGAAGGGAACGAGAAGAAACAGCGCGGGATTATCTCGCAGAATCCTTCCAAGTTTTACGAGCTTTCTTTTACGTCGCATAAAAAATGCACAGCTCCTTTCCAAGTTTCATCGTTTGATCGATTTCGACCGGTCTTCGAGAGAAAGAGAGAGAGAGAGAGGCGAGTTTCGCCGACAAAACCTACTGAAACGTTCTTTACGCGGGATTAAGCGGGACGAGATTTGCCTCTTACCGACGTTAAAAGATTCAGTCAGCCGGATAAGGAGGCAATAGAGAGTCTACGCGACAGTCGCTTCCGGTATCGCGGCTAAAAAATTTACATGCCGCGCTTCGTGTTCATCCTCGAAACTATGAGCTTATGCTACGCGAATGGCGATCGAACTATTTATAATGCGAATATACAACGTAAACCGAAATGGAGTTTGTGCTCCACTGTAAATTGTTTCATCCAAGAGATTTGGTTTTAATTACAATCACACGCACGACTCGGAGATATTCGGTAATACTTCCTAAACGTTAGGCAATAATACATACACAGAAAAAAATAAGTGTCAAATCAAAACTTATATACTTAAATTAATACGTTCATTGTTTCGTAT